TAAATCTGGGCACTTCCTTGGTTACAAACTGGCCACCAAGGAAGGCCTAGGCTAAACTACCACAAGTGGGAAAATCTCCACGGGTACCTGTGTCAGTTCACCAATTACCCACTAGGTCACGCAGCTACTGAAATAAGCATCTACCCTCACACACTAAATAAAACCCAGGCTAAGATAAATAAGACAACTCGCTCTCAGGGCGAGAGCTGGTCATGCGCATTTTACTAAAGCAACAGTGTTAGATTTGGTGAGAAGCACGTAAATGAAAGAGAACCTACACCAGCATGCCTCCTTGTTGAAGGCAGACAGTGGAGAGACTGTGGGGAGCTCCTGTTTTAGGTGTACCAAAAAAACTTTCATGTAATGGAGGTAAAAGAGGCGCCATAGCCATCCCCAGTGGGTGTCTGAGAGCAGCAAGAGGAAAGAGGCATACTGAAAAACGCTGCACAAATGCACACTGCAGCGCTTCCTTACTGCTCACGGCTATACCTCGCTAGGTCTGTAGTCGCTTCCTTTCATCTTTGTTAAAGACAAGACACTGCCTCCCAGAATTCTGAACCATTTGAAGAAATTCTTCCCAATACTTCAGTGATGTGAGCACTTTTCTGAAACACCCCATACAGGCCCTTCAGCTCCTTGTAAAGTAGATCATGAAAGCCAGCCACGTTCTTCTTCAGTATAAAATAATCTTCTAATCCTGGCCACCAAGCAATTAATAACAGGACAGAAAAAACAACCAAAAAGCTACTTTCAAAGGGAGCTCTCTGGCAATTCTAAGACAGAGAAACCCTCTGAAACAGGAAATCGACTGCCGCAAAGAGGGTGCTGCACAGCTTTGCTCACTCTCCATTAGCTGGCCAGTGGAGCAATAAAGTGACAAGAGTTTCCAAAGTAAAGTTTGCTTTGGTGCCTAATCAGGCTTTACTCCACCTGAACTCCTGCTGACTTCAATGAGAGGTTAGATGGAGTGAAAAGTGAATGAGGACTTGAAGGTTTGGCCCTTTATGAGCCAAGATTTAAGTTGTAAACTTATTTAAAGACACAAGAATCTCTGCAGCTGAACTCAATGCCACTTTTGAACACAAACCTGTAGAAAACTTGTTTTTCTTTGTGCAAATCTCACATGTTAATATGATTAAATCTGCTGGGCAGGTGTCTTCTCATGTCCATGTTTGCTTTGGCACACAAGCTGCCCCTCTCACCTCTCCAAATTCATGAAAATTTAGTGTTAAAGCCTGCCTTTTGTTACATGAGCGTGCCAGGGAGCCCCTCTGCCTTCCCACACCAAGGCTTGCTCATGTCACAGCTGGGCTGAAGTCCAGCCCAGCGCTGCCAGGTGCCCAGGCTGGGGAGGGCAAGTGTGGGTACTCATCTTCCATACGCAGGCAAGCGTGGCAAGGGATCCACCACCAGCTCCTTACTGCACAATCTCTCTGCTGCTTCTCAAGCTGTTTCTTGAGTTGCCAGTTTTCCAGATTCCCTGATGAGTCCCCTGCTCCTGGAATCATCTGACTGATCATCCCAGCTTCCATGAAAATTATTTTTTAGCTATCCAGATGAGATATACAAAGGAATCAGAACATGACCCTTTACAGCTCAAAACTATACACTTGATATAATCTCCAAGCCACCACTGTAATGCTATTTCCAAGGGTTTTGGGACCCAGCTGTAGTGCTCAGAGTGCTGACACTCTGCCCTGTACAGACTGGACAGTCCCTCACCTACCATTTCCCTTGCTGTTTGCTCCCTGCCATTGGTACGGCAAAAATTTGCACCTGCTTTTTTAGATCAATACAAGCAAGTTCAATTTTAGAAACTGTTCAAAGGGGTTAAGATTCAAAAGCATGTAGCAAGCACTAGTGAAGACATTTTTTATTAGCCCAGAAAAATGTGTCTAGCAAGAACAGTTGGCAGGGTGAAGACCCTCGAAGACACAATATGCATATTTAGGTATCAAGTGGCACACGCAGCTCTCCCAGCACTCCTTCCCCAAGTGCAGAGACGACCCAGGTGTTATCTGCTCACATTTTATAGCAATTCAGCTGAGCCACAGCAAACTAATGGCATCCTCTTGTGCAAGTCTAGATGCTTTTTGGGCTTTGCAAATTGCTTTTTGTTTAGCAGATTAGTCCTGAACATTCAAATCTTGCACCTCATTTTTTGTCTAAAGTCTAGGAAATGATAAAAGCAATTAGCTCCCTAAATCCTTCTCTTATCTGTAATTGGGTGTGATTTTTTTGTTGTTTGTTTGTGAAAAACACTGAACAAAAATAGTGTCCTCTATATGGGCCAGGAAAATAGACCCCGATGACAGCCAGCTTATCTTCCACAGCCGACTGAACAAACCAACAACTAATGGGTATGTTTTCAGGAACGCTTCCAACCAAGAGCCGAGGTGACAGACAGACCCGTGGAGTTTTTACGCAGCTCTACACTTTCCATTAGAAATAAGAAGACTCCCATTACTTTCCCTTCCTGCATAATGTCACATTGCCAGAAATATCCTAAGCGCAACGGGGCTATGGGCAGGAAGGTAGAGCAAAGCATGTGCCTTAGAACACATTTCCACCAGCTTCAAGAAATTTTTTAAAAAATAAAGAACATGAACCAGAGATTGTAACTGCAGAAAGTTCCCACTGTTTCTTTCCCACCCTCACCCTTCCCTTTGGACAAGCACAGGATTTCTAGCAGGTGTGAAAGAGCCAGGAGACAAACAAAAGAGATAAAAGACAGAACAACTCCGGAGAGCACTCAGGAGGCCACAACACAAGCACAGCACACCAGCTCCTAGCAAGCAGAGGCACTCTACCATTATCTAGTTCACAGATGGACCACCCAGAAAATCTGGGAGCAATTAGGAATGAGAACAAACAAATGCATGGAAAGAAGGGGGGAGGGAAAATGGGAAGGAGAGCCAGAAGGAATTCCTTACATCATCTCCATGCAAGCGTTTCGAGAATGAAGTGAAGCTATATGGAGGAGGAATGCAGATGAAAGAGTTTGCAGTGAGAACGCAATAAAGTAAAAGGCTATGAAAACATGCAGCGTATGAATGAATTACAACATGGCCATTAAATTTACAGAAAGTCAGGACAGTGTGTAAACAGAGAAGAAACCCATCAAGTTCTTGGAGACACAGACACGCACATATAAACAGATCAAATGCTAAGTGTCTCTCGCTGTTAACAGCATGTCAACCCGCCTTGCAACCCAGGGATCTATCAGGCAGAAAGCTGACTCACTCTCCTCTTCAGCTGTCAGTAACTGGCATTAAATACTGGCAGGAAAAACACAAATGCTACAAACCAACACCCATGCAACCTCACATACTATGTATGGATAGGAACCATAGCAACACCCAAGGGGCTCATACTACCAGAGCCCTGTGCCTGGGAAAAGCCAAGTTTCTGCTGGTCTTGTTTCCACTTACCTGGCTGGCATCTAATCTCACTATCAGTCAGCACCTCCCAACACCAAGTTATACTTTTCTTGCTTGGGAGGCTGACCTGATCATGGTAACCAAGTGCTTTGGCCCAACTGATTTCAAAGTGACTGCTGAGCACTCTAAAAACAAGGCCCATTATTTAATTAAATGCCTGATTTAAAGCATCTTTGTTGGTTTTAATTGTGGCGTAAAAGGTTGCCTTTGTTGACCAGTGCTGCAAAGTTTGCTTTCTCTTTTTAAATCATTTGATATGCAGTTTTTGACTTCTGCTAGTGAGCACAACTTATGAACTGTGTTCTGTGGGATCTAAAAGTCACAGCAAAAAAATTACTCTAAATAAAAACTGAAGATACCAAGTGTTTTGAAGTGATCTTAATCAATAACACTGTGTTTACTTTGTCTTGGCCTCTGAGAAGCGAACTCTGGTCATTAAGGACATCTTATAAACACACTAAAGTTCACACAAGCATTTTTTAAGCTTTTCAGTTTATCATAATCTCAGTAAACTCACTCCCTGATAATTTTCTCTAAAAACAGTCCTTATTAACTCACAAGTTCAGTTGAAAAAAAATCTACTATCTGCTTGTCTTAGCAGCAGCTACAATATGGCAATTAGTTTATCTCAGAACAGACATCAAAGGCTCAAAGGATGACCCTGCCCCAGAAGAACAAAATCTTTTAAAAGCCCCATTCCACTCAGTTTGCTAGTTTATAAGGTTTGCTAAAATCCAGTTTAATGATCATGTAGTTTCTTAGCAAGTCATGTGGTGCCATATTGTGTAAGGAACAGAAGAGTTAGTTCTAAAACCTTTTTGAACTTGGAGAGCTTTTCCGACCAGCTGATGCAGAACTCCAATCTGAGATGGTAAATGAAACTGTTGGATGTAAAAGCCTGACCATGATTTTCTTTAGCTTCTTTCAGAAAAGACCAAAGTTCCCACACAACACATACTCTCCCCATACAATGAAAGATTCAATAATAGCAATATATTCAAGTCCATATGGTGCGGTTATAAGGGAGAGGCAAAACAAGAAACTAAGAATCCTGAAAGTAAGAGACCTGTAAGCTGTGGTAGAAAAAGCAAGAGCATGAAAAGAAAATTAAGGTGAAACTGGATGAAGTAGTAGGGCACATTAGATTAGACAGTTCTTTTAGCTACAATCTTTATATCCTGAGCTGCTGATAGTTCCCTCCCCTCACATGGTTATCAGACAATTTCTTAATTTTTTTTGGATGACATATAACAAAGTGCTTTCAAAACCAGTCTGGCCCAGTAGCCAGGTAATAGCACTACATGTTACCAGGCAGGGTGACTGAGCAGCAGTTTCTAATACAGCCTTACAGCAATAATGCAGAAGAAATGAAAATGGAAGGGCTGGTTTCAGTGGGGGGGAACAGACATATGAAAGGGAATGACAATAAATGAATAATACAGGAGAGAAGTCTTCTTACCCTGTCTAGAATCAGATTTGAATGGTGAACGAGAAATAGGGAGGGGAGAGGACAGGAAGGACAAAATGTTGCTTTAAACATTTAGCATAGACTTGCCCCACCTCTTTCCATTACTATCACGAAGCATGGCTTTTCCCAGCTCTCTTGTCTTCGTCTCCAACTCCTGAACTTGTTCCAGCAAAGTTTTATGGTAGGTATGCTTAGCCCTGTACCACAAGGAAAAGACAAAAACAAAACAAAAAAGCCATGTGAACATTTGTTTTGCTACAAACCCCCAAATTTACCTGTCAGGGGAGAGGCACAGGGCCTTCCCTTGAAGGATTTGGAAAAGGTGGCACAGTGTTTCCATGTTAGTTCAGGTTCACAGTACCTGGGAAAAAATACATAAGAAATGAGAAATCAGGAGGACTTCAAATTCAACAGAGTTTGGCTGCTTCAACAGAACACTCAAAACCTAACCAAGCAGCCAAGCTATGGGACCACAGAGATCTGACACCGCTGCCATGGAACTGCTCAGGACCCGGGCATTCAGACAAAGGGCTGGAATTCATTGAATATTCATGGCAGTAAAACAAGATTCCACCCTGTCTTTTGAGCTACTGCTCTGAAAACCCGAGGAGAGTCTCATATAGTAATTGCCATTCAAACCCCTTGATTTTCGTTTACCGTTCTCAAATGATTGGAAAGGAACTTCTCAGTAAACTTCCAAATTGACAGTAACAAGACTGGCTGTGACCTACTTCCTCAGCTTGAGGATTGAAAGAGCAACCTATGTACCACACCTGTAACCAAAATTTAGAGTGCAATTCCCCCCATAAAGAGACTTGACCTTTTTACCCCCAGTTTTCCCTACTGCTCCAGTGCTGTTATACCTAAATTACATTGATCTAAGGGAGAGAATCTAGTCCCCTTCGTCTTGACATGTACAAAGCAAGAATAAAAGAAGCAGGGATCTTTCTTCAATGGGCAGTTTTTGATCAGCTTCCTCTTTTGTGTCAATTAAAGGAGGATAAATGTCCCATGAGAATATAATGATTTGCACGTGACTGCAAAAGAAGACAAGATGGAGCCAAGTACTGAGGCAGTACTTGCTTCATGGCATTAAAATAATATTCTTCAACTCTAGAGATGGCAAAAATTTCTTTACAAGTTTTATAAAAATCTTACATGCAGACACTAAAATCTTTAACCAATGATATAAAACAATGTCAAACTCCCTCTAGGAGAAAAACAATAACTGGTGTATATGTAATTAAAATATAATGAAGACACATTTATTTTTAAAAGGTACTTATGACACTTATAGCTCCTTCCATAGGGAATAAGAAACAAAGACCACAAAATCTTTGCTGATACTATTTAGGATGACACTGCCTTGATATTAATACTAGGATATCCAAGTCCTCTGGTCTTTGTGTTGCTGAATTAGGCAAATGCCTAAAAATGAGAAGCTAAAATGAGAACTACTTTCAAAACGTATCTGCATTTAAGAGAAAAAAAAATAGAACAACAAAAGATGAAGCATAGAAAAATCTCGGAATAAAGACTATCAGGATGTACTTGGAAGTTAAACCAACAAAGGTGTATGATTTGCAACACCAACATACTGTGTAGAAAAAATGAGTAGCAAGGATATTTTTAAAATTCATAATGCTTCAACAATGTGAGATTACCAACACCTGCACAGAAATTAATTAGATTCAAGTTGCTATAACTAGTTAGGCTAATGATTAGACTGGTGTCCTCTTTGAGGAAGGGAAAATATAGCTATTAAAATGAGAAAGCTTTGAGGCTATTAATTCTTATAATCTTTCTGGTTGACTTCATCATCGCAGTCTTTAATTTAAATAAATACATTGAAATTTTGACCTTGAACTTCTCTCTTACCTTTTAAAGAGGCTATACCTACTATTGCAAACTTGGAGACTGAGCGCGTTTGGAATTTTTCAAATCCTTTATAACCAGTTTTCCCCATAGACAAGAACACATATGTACAAGTTATTCAATCTCTCTCAAGGGTCCATGTGTATCTTGCCACACACCAAAAGAGATGATGTTCACCCTTAGAACAAATATTGAATCCAAAACTTAACAGATCTTGAGCAACAAGTCCAATTTGTGCAGCACAGCTCAAGGAGGCTGATACAGCACAGTATGGAAAAACTACTGTTGGCCAGAAGTTGGGGGTACTGAAATGTTTTGTAAGTAGTGTGAAACAATGAAACACAAGGGCTCTGCTGGGGCTGGGTATCTATAAGGCAACAATAAACCCACAGGTAGTTGTTATGCACTGAGTCACTCCTTCACTTGGAAGCAAGAGTATCCATGGAAGGGTCAGTAATCAAGTATTTATAAATAAATAAAAAATATAAAAAGGGTCTGAGCTAACCTATCCACTGTTCCCTCAAAAACAAATATTAAAATATGGTACTACAATTGCATCAGAGTCTGGGTTTGCTCCTATCAAAGACAACTGCAAATATTCCATGGACTGCTGGCAACAGGACTCGAAACTTTATGACTTTTTCACTACAGCACATTATAAACTTTTGATACACAGAAACAGAAGGAAGAGTCTTAGCTTTTAGCTTAGTACTTTATGAGTGGTCCTAGATGCACAATCTCTCAATAAATGATGAGATCTTGTGTTCAATGTTACTGTTCAGCTGAAATTTGATGCATTACATAAAGACAAACTCACCTTCCCCTCACACATTGGGATATTAAGATCAGAGACCATAAGAACTGGCAGAAGGTTATCTGTATTTTGTATGGCCCTTCCCCTTCCAAGCCAGGGAAGCGCATCCCTTTGCTGCCCTAGGAGGATATTTAGGGGGGTCAGGAGGCCAGAATCTGCCAGGGAGAAGCATGGTAGCATTCACAAACGTTTCTCAAACATTACACCACCTCTATTGTGGCCCATTATCCTCACTACCATCTTAGAAGTCTTGCACTCCAGGGACTGCAGGTATGTGCAAGGATGGGAAGAGCTCCTTGTACCTTCTCTTACTTACACAGCAGAGCTGGCAAGTGCAAAATGCTTCTTCCCCCACAGTAAAAAAAAAAAAAAGTACATGAAAATTTTGGTAATTGGAAGGCTCAGGAAATTTTTCACTGTAATGTAAGTACTGAGATACCAATTATGACTAAATTCTTGCCCTGTTGCCTGATTTTGCTGAAATACACTCTGCAATTTTATGATTCCCACGTAACTCCGTGGCTCAGCTATTTCAAGACTTCCTAGCACCAGTGACACGTATTTAAGTCACAAGTGCCAACTGTGAGGAAGCACTCACCTTATAAAGCTCTGTTCATTCAAATGGTTGCACAACTAGAACTTTTATAAGGTAAACCAAGGCACTGAATTCAGGGTAGTGGACCAAAGTTAATAATGTGGTATTTCAACCAAATATTAATAATAAGCTTCCCTCTCCTAAAGAGAGTTTTCCACATTTCCTTGATTCATTTAAAAAGAAAAAAAAAAGGAAAAAAATAGCCTGGAGCTGCAGAGAACATGGGAGGTAAGCGATGTTTTGACAAACGTAGCCTGTGTAACAAAGGAAACACGTAAAACTAGTTCTTGCTTCCAGCATTAGAAGTTTTGATAGTGCATGCAGCACAGCAGTTTAGAAACAAAAGATTTGTATAGGTCTTTCCAATCAACCTTTTTCCAGACAAAAACTCTGTACCATGTGTATGGTATTCTGGCAGTATTTTGTACCGCAATTAGGCATGTACCTTTTGGGTCACATGGATGCTCCTTCTGCGGACATATGCTTCATGTCCAAAAGAAACCAAAAGGGATAAATTCCATGATCATGAGAAATCAGAGTTGCTGTAATTTTATAGCCAAAACCATATTCTGTTGAATTACAGAGAGCAATGTGGTGTAACCACTGCTATGGAAATGTGCCGGCTGATTTCCAGGGCCTTAGGCTCCAGTTTTAAATGGCAAGCCTCTTGAAAAGCAAACAGACCTTTACTCCTTCCATATGGCAGTGCTGATAGCTGTGTCATTTCATTTATCCTAGTTAAAATGTTAATGGTGTTAATTTTTCAGTGATGGGTTAGGGGAAAAAAAAAGTCCTGCTCAGAGAACAGATTTTTTGCTTAATGTTGATAGGAGCCTTCTGTTTAAAATCTGTTGGGAAAACATCTAGCATATCAATCATACACGTTTGTCTTGAGAGCTTCACAATCTCTGTACATTCTTGGTCTGAACCACTGAAGGGATTATGTTGCTGAGATTTCTCCAAGAAATATTAAAGAACAGGCTGAGTCAGTAACAGAGTTTAAAATGACTAATAGCTGAGGATGAGCCTGCCATGGTCTGGCCTGTTTTACAACTCATGAGTCATTTTTTGCCAAGAACTGATAAGAACAGAGGACAACTTCAGGACACTCAACTATCATGAAAACATTTAAAAAACCGAAGTGTAATCTTGGACATCTATACATAAATTTGATCCCTGATGCTGCAAACAGTTCATCTGCTATTTAGCTTTAATCACAAAAGTTCCACTGACTTCTAAGCAGATAATTTTAAATAATGCCTGACACAGGAGCAAGGCCTGTTATGCTAAATGAATTTTAAGATTTTTTTTTCCCCAGAGCTTTAAGGAGCTGGTCACAGACACAGTTAAGTATCTAAATTTAAACATTTTGGCTCCACTTTTAGAATTTTAAAATAATTTTCAATTGAAGAAGTTTAGTGAGTGCAACAAAAAGCCCTCTGATATGCTGGACTATTAAATCATAGTTTGAGCCTGAAAAGAAATATTACAGTATGATACCTAGTTTTAATTTTAGCAGCAGCTTGTGAAAATTAAGCTGAGGGAGACAACAGGAAAGCGTTTAAGAAGTACTTACTGATTGGTAGATTTGCCTACTACCAATTTAATTTAGCTCTGCTATCAACCCCATATGAATAAAACCCACATTTTTCAGATCTATGCATATGACTTGATTTCATAATGATGTTTGAAATGTGCCTGTGTTTGGGAAACTTTCTGCTTTTGGCAGTATTTTCTGCATTACTCCATAAAGCAGATTGGTGGACTTTGTAGTGCTAGGTTTACAAATGGACTTGATGCTATTAAAGGTCCTTTCCAACCTAAATGGTTCTATGACACTAAGAATCTTTCTTGGCTGACCAACAGTTCATTCCTGGAGCCAAGTGTTATGTGTTACGATGCTTCCACTTTGAGCCTCTGTGAAAAGTGACAAGCTAACATATTTCTCCTTCACTCCAGTTAGGATCTGCCTTTTGCCCAAGAATGTCCTGGGTCCTCCTTGCACAAGGTTATTACATATCCATGCAACAAAACCTTCTTAGTTGTTTTCCAAGGGAAAGGATGAGAGGTTTGGTGCTTAAGACACTTAAAAGCATGCTGAACAAAACAGCAGAAATTCTAAATGAAAATGATACTTCTGCATTTCAAATTGCAATGGTAGAGAAGGTAAGTTGCTTCCCTTTGAATCCAAGTTCTTGAAATTGCTTGCCTCCTGTAATGCTTTGAAAACACAGAGTTTTGAGAGAAGGGGATTACACCAGCTTCTATTTCACAAGTTTTTTCCTCCTCTCTGGTCAGGGAAGGAATCATTACAACTTCAAACATAAAGTGTAGAATATTGCTCAGTTAAGTTTTGGAAGATCTGCTACTGAAGGAGAACTTAAAAGCAGCTGATGAATAACTTACTGAGACAGATTACTGAGAATGGATTAGAGTGTGACATTTTTACTTTCTACCTAAGCTTAGACAGGTTGAACAAATTATTTGCTCCTTTTTAGGAATAGAAAGTCTCTGATGTCCAGTTTAAATCTGCCTTTAAGTAAAGGATAGACAATACAGACACACCTTCATTACTCAGACAAGGCTTCCTCCTTCAGATTCAGGACTTAACTATTCATTCTCTCACATTGTTGGTTGCATTGGCAGGTGAGAAATCACGCCCATTTCACTCCTTACAAAGGAGTACCATTTCGCATTCATTGAAAGACTTCAGAGTTCTTTACAGAACAATACTGAACTGGACAACACGTGAATACAGAATAATTCCTAAAACACCAAGAGGACTGGTCTGGGACTTACGCTGTCCACGCCACGTCTTTAACAAGGCACGCAGTGGGCACGAGAAACAAGCCAAACCAGAAGTATCCACATCTTAACACCATTCCAGCCTGTGAAGGAAACAAACAAATAAATCATGAGTATTTTCAAGCCATTACATGTTAAGTGGTTGTTTACAAGCAAAAAGGTAGAGTGATGGCATCAGACAGGTACTGGGTGATGTTGAAATTTGGTGGTGGTGGAAAGCCTCATCAACTCTTAACAGAAGATAGGCCTTCAATTAACAAATACTAATGGTATTTTTCACTGCAATGATTCCTTTTGACCTCAGATTCCATAGAAATTTTTGAAAACAATTTTTTAAAAGCATTTTGACCAAATCCTCCAATGATATTAATGATATTAATATAATGATATTAATGATATTAATGATATTAAGTGGATTCAGGCAGACACATTTTAAGTCATGGAGAAGAGCACCATAAGTATATTTAACTTGCCCTTCTGACTATCTTTTGTGCCTTTTGCTTACTCTGTTTCTACCCACTGTCCTGGATCTCTAAGCAGGATCAAACTGACATGAAAAAACCACATTTCTCACTAAAATGTTTCAGTCATATTCCACTTAAATACAGCACTTCCTGTTCAAACTACTGCTGCCTGAAACCCAGGGTGGGAAAGATTCACTCCTGTCCTGCGAATGGCTTTTTTTACAAACAAAGAGTTCAAAGTTTATCTTTGCGTTTTTCGCATTGTTTCAATGCTTGAAGAAAAAGCTTTGTGGGATTTGAGAAGGAAGAAACCCTGCACAACCCAGCATATACACATAGTTATGGAACAAAGTTTTGAAATACAGTACTATTTACAGAAATGCTACTTTAGATCATTAGAATCTTTTGCAGATAAATTAATGGTGATTAAGGGCCAGGTTTGCTAAATGGAAGACTTGAGACAACGTTTTCACCTCTTGCATGCAACACACACACACACTTCCCATCAGAATCATTAAGCTCTCCAGCACATTAGGGACAGAAAGGATTTTTTTTTTTTTTTTGGTGCGAGGACTTGTGTACAGCACACAACTGAAACACAGGCTGAAGGGTTTCGACAGGATTTCCAGTGTCTAGACAGATTTTGCTCTCTTGCCAGTTATGGACACTGCTATATCTCTTTCCCAAAACATTTACTTCCCAATATTTTGTATGCTCCATACACACATCTACCAACATTCACATGCAACGTTGCCAAAGGCAGGGAGGTCCATACCCACGGACACAAAACTGTAGCAGCTGCCTCACCAGTGGAAGGCAGGCTTGGCTGGCTCAGTTTTGCCTCACTACTGTAGCACACAAGCATTGCAAGCCTGCAATGGTGCAGTGCCAAGGCACTGCACAGATAAACACAAAGTTGAGCTGCAGAACATGGAACTACACAAAATATCTACTAGCCTTTGAAATAGATTGTAAAAAGACAAAATTTGTAATTATACCCTTAAACATGACTGATCACAACAAAAGACTTCTACCAATCACTACAGTAAAGCTTTTAAACTGAGAAAAGCCATCACAGTGCCTTGCCGGGATGTTCATCAATAGCATGTAGTATGTTCTCCTGGTGTTGATCTCCATTTAAAGTTGTTCACCTAATTACTAAGTCACATCTAGCAGCAACTTCCCTGTTATCCAGGAGGAAGAAGTTAGTGACCTGCTGAGCCACTTGGATCCTCACAAGTCTATGGGACCAGATGGGATCCACCCAAGGGTGATGAGGGAACTGGCGGAAGAGCTCGCCAAGCTGCTCTCTATTATTTATCACCAGTCCTGGCTCACCAGGGAGGTCCCAGATGATTGGAAGCTAGCGAATGTGACACCCATCCACAAGAAGAGCCAGAAGGAAGACCTGGGAAACTACAGGCCTGTCAGCCTGACCTCAGTGCCCGGCAGGATGATCTGTTCCGTAACCTTAAGTGTGATCAAATGGCACCTACAGGACAGACAGGGGATCAGAGCCAGCCAGCATGGGTTTAGGGATGGGCAGGTCCTGCCTGACCAACCTGATCTCCTTTCATGATCAGGTGACCCACCTGGTGGATGAGGGGAAGGCTGTGGATGTGGCCTATCCAGACTTCAGCAAAGCCTTTGATACCATCTCCCACAGCACACTCCTGGAAAAGCTGGCAGCCCACGGTTTGGACAGGGGCACTCTGTGCTGGGTTAGGAACTGGCTGGAGGGTCGGGCCCAGAGAGTGGTGGTGAACGGTGCTGCATCCAGTTGGTGGCTGGTCACTAGTGGTGACCCCCAGGAATCAGTGTTGGGCCCAGTCCTGTTTTATATCTTTACTGATGATCTGGACAAGGGTGTACCATTAGCAAATTTGCAGATGACACCAAGTCGGGGGGGGAGTATCAATCTCTTGGAGGGTAGGAGGGCTCTGCAGAGGGACCTGGACAGGCTGGATAGATGGGCCAAATCCAACAGTATGATGTTTAACAAGACCAAGTGCAGGGTCCTGCACTGTCACTACAACAACCCCATGCAGTCCTACAGACTGGGGGCAGAGTGGCTGGGAGGGACCTGGGGGTTCCAATCAACAGGAAGCTGAACATGAGCCAGCAGTGTGCCCAGGTGGCCAAGAAGGCCAAAGGCATCCTGGCCTGTACCAGGAATAGTGTGGCCAGCAGGACCAGGGCAGTGATTCTGCCCTTTGTATTCAGCAGTAGTTAGGCCATACCTTGAGTACTGTGTCCAGTTCTGGGCCCCTCAGTTTAGGAAGGACACTAAGGTGCTGGAGAGTGTCCAAACAAGGGCAATGAGGCTGGGGAAGGGACTGGAGCACAGGCTCTATGAGGAGCAGCTGAGGGAGCTGGGGCTGTTTAGCCTGGAGAAGAGGAGGCTCAGGAGAGACCTCATCGCTCTCTACAACTCCCTGAAAGGAGGTTGTAGCCAGGTGGGGGTTGGTCTCTTCTCCCAGGCAACCAGCAGTAGGACAAGAGGGCAGAGTCTTAAGCTGTACCAGGGGAGGTTTAGGTTAGACATTTGAAAGAAATTCTTTACAGAGAGAGTGATCAGACATTGGAATGGGCTGCCCAGGGAGGTGGTGGAGTCACTGTCCCTGGAGGTATTCAAGAAGAGACTGGATGTGGCACTTAGTGCCATGGTCTAGTTGACAGGGTGGTGGGCTGGACTCAATCTCACAGGTCTTTTCCAACCTGGTTGATTCTGTGATTCTGTAACTTGCCCTTGGATTGCCCAGTAGCGAGTACTTCCAAAAGCATTTTTCATTTTTAAATGTTAAATCCTCCATGCCATTGCTGGACTGACAGACCAGTGGTAAATCTTGTACTGAAACCAAGAGCAAGCTAGACAGTGCTAAAACATTTATGGACACTTTGCCACCCACACAGACAGTAAGCAAACACATTCCAGTCCCAGAATCAGCTCTCAGTTATTTGGGAGCCCTCATGCCTGCATTCACATGTGAATGCCAGAAGCATACAGGCAGTTTTGATCAATGCTTATTTAAAGAAAAGGATGTGCAGGAATAAGAGGGAATTCATAACTTTATTGTTAGCCAAAAAGTAGAACTGTAATAACAGTGCCAAAATTTAATGAGATTTATCCTCATGCTTTGCTCTTCTTTGGCTGTGACCCTGCAAGTGCTAGCAGTCACAGAACCACATCAGCATTATTTCCGCTGACCGTCCTTACGCTGCCTTTGCTAATAAAGGCTAAAAAGGGTCCATAGTATTCCATATGCATTTTCTGCTATTTTTGCTTGAAATATTTTACGTTCCACTTCTTGCTTTTCTAGCTGAAAGCAACTTGACACACTTTCAAAGTGCAGAACAATCTGAGTATGTGTTCAATAGAAGTTTAAACGCTATTATTGTTGTTATAAATGTTGACATCTCAACCAACGGCTATGAATTTGGACATGTCTCACATCAAGAAAAAATCAAAGCCAAATACTTTTTGCCTGCAATTATGTATTTTACTCAAGTATTGTTCTTCCAAAAACGTCACCATAACAGTGAAACTATTAATCTCATCTGAACCCTGTCAAACACTCATTTTAGTACTGGCAAGCCTTTTTCCACACAATCCTCATGAAAATTTTACTCCGTTTCTGAGCTCATCTGAAAGTTTCTTTCTTGCTCACCTCTAGTTTCCCCTTGGAGTTATGTCACTGCTATGCTGCTTGACAGTGAACTGGTTTGTCTTGCATGCACAGCTCTGCCTCTGAACACAGGATCACACTCTGGCAGGATCACACCATCTGCTCACAGGATGAGGGCTCCTCAGCAGAGGATTCACTGGAAATCACCTAGCACGTTCTGGGGACATCCACAGACAGCACTTTTAGGATACTCTCCAACTTGCAGGATAGAGAGCTGGGCTATGAACAGAAGCTACAATAAGAACACCTATATATCCCAACAAAGCTTTTCTCAGGCTTCCCAGCTGTTGCTGTGCTCCATTCCCGTTGCTCAGCTATTCCTGACAGCAGTGAAGACAGTACTACGTTACATCTTCAGTGAAACAGGGCATTTCCATACCCAGTCTCAGTGAATAACACCCTTCAGCTATCAGTTATACCCCTGTAGATAGGAAAAGCAGAGCTACCAAACAGGAATGATCACTTTTTTTTTCCTTTTTTTTTTTTGGTAAAGCTCACAAGAAACAGGAGTAGAAATAGGTTGTTTTTAAAAAAAAAATCAGAATTTTGAGCAGCTCTGTCATCACACAGACCCCACAGTATGCAACTAAGTAATTTTTATTCTGTCTACTGATGTAAACATCCAATCCAAATCTAACTACCAGAGATCATTAATCACAAGGCACCCCCCCAAAACACTTGAGACTAATGCAAGTCCTCCTGCTGAGGACAGTGCAACTTAAACTGCTGCCACCAGTAGACTGCCTTTCAAGCACTGATTAATCTGCCACAGACAAAGCACTCATTTTAGAGAACTGATAACATTTGTTAAAAAGAATGGGAACAAGAAAAGAAAGAAAAAAACCCTTGGCTCCAGTTATTTCACAACTGAGAAGGAAATAATTTAGGTCCCAATACCTTTAACCTCTTGTAAACAACTTTTGTAAGAGTGAG